GAAAGGCTCAGGACTGTATAGCATCAGGTGTGGGGTCAAAGAGTACTAGGAATCATTTCCCAGAATCCACAGCCACTTCACCCAAAGCTTTGCAGAGTTCAAAGTGATCTCTGTTGGAGACAACCAGAAAAAAAACAAACAAGCAGCACCCCAAAGCCATCAATGGGGGCAAATCATGTCCACTGGGCTCAGGGCTGAAATGCTGAGAAAGGACAGTTTCCCAAGCGGGGAGCTAGGCTGCTCTGGCAGGCCCGAGAATGTAAGCCCATAGTCCATACGCCACCTGTCTCTGACACACATGGGTGAGAGAATCTCCAGGACACTGCTGTCTCCAGTTCATCTAAACCCCAGGACCCAGCACAAAGACTGGAAAGCAGAGTCCTGAGAAACATCTGTTGCTGGGAAATAACAATCTTAATCGAGCTGTGTCCCTCCTTGATAGCAGAAGCCCTGGACCACAAGCCTGATTACTGAAGAACCTGGAGGGGCCACGCAATTCATTTGTTTGCTTTTTTAAATCTCCTTCCTGGGCCAGGGAGTATAACCCATGTGCGTGTGTGTGCGGGCGCTTGTGCGCAGAGCCAACTACACACCCACACACCCTCACAGAATGCGCGTGCCGCTGAGCAAACAGGCAGTGCGACATTCCAACACTCACGACCCACTGCCAGAGATTTATTTTTAAAACGTTTTTTCTTACTCTAAATCTCACTAACTGTGTGATCCTGGGTAACTTCTTTGAGCCTCAGTTTCCTCATTTATATAAAAGAGATAATAGCACCTACATACAGGGTTATTTTAAGAATTAGAGTTTTTGTGTGTAAAGCACCTAGCCCCAGGGATGTTTCAAGGATTAAATGACATCAAGAATGTAAAGGGTTTAGAATAGTGTTGAACACAGAGTAAACACTCAGTACAAAGGAGCATTACTGTTATTACTATTTCCTTAGAAGCCCACGGTCACACATTAAGCAGCTCCTCTTCTGGCAGAATCCATCACACTACCTTTGGATGCTAACTCCAGCTCAAGTGCTGAATAGTTCTGTGCTTTGCACAAATCACTTCATTTCTCTGAACCTGATCTCCAAGACAGAGGTGGGAACCTGTGCGGGCATGTCCCACTAAAGAAGTTATAATCCAAATATCACTTCCTCTGCAGTCACCATCCACACTAACCATCTGTGACTTAATTACATGCATCAGGCTCCCTCTCTGCTTAGGTGCTGAGAGAGCTAGCCTACGCCTATACGCTCCTTGAGGACAGAGGACTGGCCTTGTTTTACACAGGCGCGCAGTATTCACACACAATCACGTTACGTCTCCCTTAATAAAGGCAAAGTGAATATTGGTTTGACAAGGAACCATCATTTGGGGGAACCTTCTATAAGCAGGCACTGTTCTTTAGCTTCCAGCCCAAAAGTGAGCGCATTTAAATTTGAGTTCAGAGGATGCAAACTGCCCGCCCACAGGTTACCTATTAAAGTTTTGTTTGACCCGCCTACATAATGCTTCAGAATTTTTTGAATTACGCTTTAACCACTGCACCACCAGGGCTCCCTTGCATGTACAGCACTCCAGAAATGCTTTAGAAATGTGGGAAGGAGGGACAAACTTAGCTAAAGTTTGTAAACATGTACTAGATGGTTCCAAGAAAATCTCTGTAATGCATGCTTCAGAAGAAGATACCTGTTTTTTCAATATAGACAATTGAATTGAACTGCCAACCTTTAAAAACTGGGAGATTTGGCACTAAAACAAGTATCTAGATTTCTGTTTCCTGTGATAACTGGAAGATCTGGCAACAATCTGGGTTTAAATAATCAACGGTAGCTGAAGAGTAGCTGCCCTCTTTACTGCTCTCTCCAGCTCACCACAGTCTCCACCACTCCCTCAGGCTTTCCATAACCATGCTTGAATCTAGCAGTTAAACATTAACTTCTACAGCTTAGGAATTAGCTCTTGGTTTGCCAGCACTTATTTTGTCCATTATATTTAAAGTACGGTGTCTTGCACATATCCAAAAAAACAAACCTATTGCTGTCAAGTTGATTCTGACTCATAGAGACCCTCTAGGACAGAGTAGAACTGCCTGATAGGGTTTCCAAGGCTGTAATTTTTACGGAAGCAGACTGCCGTATCTTTCTCACTCGGAGGGGCTGGTGGATTTGAACAACCCACCTTCTGGTTAGCAGTCAAGCACTTGAACCACTGTGTCACCAGGGTTCCCTTGCATGTATAGCACTTCAGAAATGCTTCAGAAACATGAGAAGAAAGGACAAACTTAACTAAAGTTTGCAAAAATGTACTAGATGGTTCTGAGAATATCTCTGTAATGCATGCTTCCAAAGAAGATATTTGTTTTTTCCAGATAGGCACATTATTTATTCCTTTATGGGAGACAGAGCAAAGATATAAATCTCATGTCACTTATCAAAGCAAACTGAAGCAGAAGAAGTAAACAGTGGCTTGAAAGGCAAAAAAGCAATTTTAAGAAATTAATAAATGATGAGACCATTAACAGCAGACAAAAAGGGTTTGCTCCCTCCCCCTCTTAATATGATTTTTACCTTAAACACTGTGTCCCTTTAGGAAAGGGAAGAAAAGTTAATAAAAGGAAACTGTCACTCAAACATAATTTTTAGTATAGCAAATAAACTGCTTTAATGAAAGGCCTGAAATCCCCAGGTTTGCACATTAAATTTTCATTCGTAGTAGAGAATGGAAATTATTGATTCAGCTGTGGCATCATGCATTTTGAATCCTACAGTGCCTCAGAAGCCCACGTTACTGCTGGGTGCAAATGTGTTGGCAGCATTTTGATGCAGGGTGGGTGAGGGGGTGGAGAAAGGGAGATAGATAAGGGAAGGAAGCAGATTGACTCTTCCCAGAAAGAAAAATTAATCAATGTTTCTTGTCTCTAAGATCCACTTAGACAAAGCACCGCTTCTGATGGGATTATGGGCATTGTGAGACTAGAGAAGCCAGGTCCACTCAGTCTTTTGGAAAACTCCAAGGGACTCATGGAATACTTAAAATAACAACAGAATGGATGGCTGATGACTTGATTCTAAGCCCTTTGGGGAAGAGTTTGGGTTTGAAGGAAACTGTAGAGAGAGAGAAAAAAAGTACCTCGCTCAGTTCAAGGTCAAGGGAAGAGCAAATGTCTGACATTCTAATGCTGAACTGGATAGCACAGAAAATCAATCAAACCCACAAACACAGCTCTCACCCTGGTGTGGTCCCATCGAAGAGTCAGGTGACATGAGCAGCCAATCTTTACTTAAAGTGTGAAACTAGGTATGGCTTTCCTTTGAAAGAAATTAATCCTCCTGCCTCTCAGAGGTCTACCCCATAATTAAACAACTCTTGATTATTTCTCCCTTAGAGAACGCACAGATATGGATTCTAAGCCAAGGCAGAGGCAGCCTGCATTGGGCACAACTTGGGGTCTTTGTGTACCATGGGGAGCCCTGGTGCTGCAGTGGTTAAGAGCTCAGCTGCTAACCAAAAAGGTCAGCAGTTCGAATCCACCAGCTGCTCCTTGGAAACCCTATGGGGCCATTCTACTCTGTCCTATAGGGTCGCTATGAGTCAGAATTGACTGGACGGCAACAGGTTTCAGGTTTGGCGTACCATGGACTGGTATGAAATCAGGGAAAGCAATCGTCTTCAGAAATAAGCTAAACTCAGTTGCCAAAGTAAAACTGCTTAAAAAAAAAAAAAAAAAAAAAAAAAAGAAGGCAGGAAAGATATTCACATAATATATTCCAAAAAGAAAAGGCTTTTATTTTGATTACCTCCCTGCTTAGGATTATCTTATATCAGTGATCTGCTCTGTTAGTCTGGTTGTTGGAAAAGTCGCTCATTGGACTAAAAAGTTCTGGTTTTGTGTTTTCAGACGCTGAGGGCTGGTGCCATCTATAGATTTCCATTCTGGGAGAGGTTTCTCTTTTGTCCTATTCTGCGTCAGACCTGCTGTCGTGATGATAAGAGCGCCCAGGAGACACTTCCTCGCGGTTTAATAGGCTATGAAGGATGGGCCTCGTTAATCGGCTGGCAGCTGCCCTCAAACAGGAGGCTGCCTGGAGGTGGGGAAGAAGGGAAGTGGGCTGAGGAGAAGGCAGGTTTCTTCCAGAACACCACAGGCTGCCCAAGGGGGCCCCTGAAGCAAACAGCACCACCTCTTGAAGGATCCCCACTACGTGAAGTCTGAACCGAGAGCGACAATCCAGCCTCAGAAACCTCCATCTGGAGGAGCAGGCTCTGGGTAACTGTTTTGCTTTTTTGTCTTAAAAACAAACCCTCTTGAGATATTATCTACTGGGCTGGTTATTTTCAGATTGCTGGAATGTTACTTTTTCTGTTGTTCCTTTACTATGTTCCCATCAATTTTATAGTACCCATTCCTATTACACTAATGCCTTTACCTATAACTGATTTTCCCTTTTGGAGTCTTGGTTAGGAGGGTCCTTTCCACTCTTAAGTAAAGGCCGAGCTTGCCCGCCTGGCACACACCTCCTGACTTGGCCCCTGCCCACTTTCCCATCCTCATCTTTTCATTACCTTCCCATCCAAAATTAGGCCACACAGTTTTATATGCTGCCCCTGGCTTGTCATGTTTTTGTACATTTTCACAGCTTTGCCTGTGCTATTGCCTCTGCCCAGAGTGGCTTCTCTGCCTCAGCTTCTTCCTTTGGCTCAGTTCTGGCCATCTTGGCAGACTCAGGTTCACAGGCCCTCTTGGTGGGGTACTCCTCTCTTACACCCCTCTTCCCTCGGGATTGGAGTTCCCACAGCTCTTGGTCCTTTCCTTTCACTTAGCTATTACCTCACTCTCCTGTAATGGTCTGTGTTCCTACTTAGTACAGGTGGCTGGTAAATGTTCTTTGACCAAATAAAGAGCAGCACCTCTAGCTCTCATACAGCCTGGATTTATTAGATCAAAGGGATGAAATTTAACCATTGCCTCCCAAATCAGGAGCCAGCACATCACCTCTTACCTTTATGGTTTTGGTCTGGAGTCTGAGTCCATTTAAAGTGTTGATGGCTTTCTCTGCATCCTTTGGATCAATATAGTTAACAAATCCGTACCCTAAACTCTGTCCTGTAGAAACATATTAAAAGAGAGAGAGAGAAAGAAAGAAACTCAGTATCTTTTCAAGAGGCAACACTTTCCATTGCAGAAAGTAAACACTCTTTTCTAGTATATATATAATATTCTAGTATATTTTGGTATTACCCCCAGGGTGAGAGTTTTCCAATTCTTCCATCTCTCACTCTGGCCTGCCTCTAAACTCACATGAGCTGCCTGAGCTGGGAAGGGGTAAATGCACTGGACCATCTATGCCAGATACATACAAATGTGCACATAATAAGGAAGAAGTGGCGGGGGCGGGGCGGGTAGTGGAAAGAGCAGGTATGATTTGTTAGGACACATTTGAACTGGAATCCTGGGGCTTTCCCTACTAGCTGTGTGAATTTGGAGAGAAGTCATTTAATCTTTTTTTTTTTTTTTATCCCCTACATCTCTACTCTGGACATAACAGCATTCAACCTCAGAGAGGTCTGAAAGGTTTAAGTGAGGTATTGTTTACAAAATGCCCACGGTGCCTAGAACATAGGAGGCGCTCAATGAAAGACAGCTAAGCTATGTTCAGGACTGAAACTGGGGCAAGCGCTGGACAGAGTAGCTATGTCTGTTGCCTCAGTCATGCCAGCCACACCCACACTCAAAGGGAAGCCGCAGGATCTGAGCAATGACTGGAGATGATTATAGTGAAGGGTACAGACCATGGCCAGAATTTTAAACAGTTGCTACAAATCATTCCATGCCCTCATTATACCCCCATGCAAAGAACAATCCAAAAAAAGAACCCCAAAACGAAAGGTTTCTATTGGAACTGGGGAGCTCCTAACACAAAGGGGAGAGTGCGAACGATTTCTGCAAAGAGGATTTAGCTACTTTAGGTGGAGATGGCATCAACTTGTCTGCAAAGAGAGGTTGCAAGTGACAGGGCTCCCCCCTAAGTGAAATAAAAATAATGTGCTTGCGATCGTGCCACTGATTATAAATAGTCCATCAGCTCTGCCATGTGTCATCAGCCAGAAATATCATTAGGAAACTTTACATTTTCTGACATACCCTTTAAGAAACACAGAGCTTGGGGTGGCTGCAAAAACCAACTTGAACTTCCCAGGCAATGTTATTGATTTGTGGGTGGCAGCAGAGCCAAAGGGGAGGAAAATGACAGGACATCACATGTCAGGAAAGACTGATTACATAAAGCTCTCTTTGGAGTACCGGGGCCAGGGCTGGGAGACAATACAGCAAAAAGCCTGCCATGTCCTGGTGACAGGAGCCCATTTCAGCAGCCAAAAAATCTTTCCAACAGCTTCTGTTTTGCTGGTAAATGTCTGTGTTTGTGTTGGTTGTAGGAGGGAACCTGGGAAAACAAGTTGGGTTCTGGATCAGAAAATGGGCGACTTCATTATCCTTTGTCAGAGTGGAAGCAAAGAGAAGCAGGAGGAAACTCAATCACATTTGTTCCCAAAATGGGAAACCCAAAATGACAACACTTTCCATTAGGATATTCCTTTGTCCTTTTGAAAGAACAGGGTAAGACTAGGAAAGACAGGGGCAAACTTTGCAAAATACGCCCTTCACTAGCCAAAATCAGTAACTGAAGAATGAGAAGAGGATGCTGAGCACACTCTAGCTGCAGGGACCCTTCTCTTTCCACTTCACTGTGTATGTGTGGTGTGTGAGTGGTGTGTGTGTGTGTGTGTGTGTGTGTGTGTGTGCTCACGCACTATGTCAGAGAGAGTGTGTGAAGTGTGCGTGTGAATTCCAAGACCCTGCCACATGTTCTGAGAAACTCTATTTTGCAAATACAAAAATACAAGAGACTAATTTCATTGGCTCTACCTCATCAAGCCTAACTAAATTCATCTACTTAAGGCAATTTTCAGCATGCAAATTTCTCAGTCATATTTACCTTATATACAAGAGAGGCCCTAAAAACTGCTGTACAAAAATACTTTTATGATCACTTCTTTTAAACAACCATGCACCAAGTTTAGCTGCTTTAAAGTGCATTTTTTAAAGCTGTTATCTCAATGATAAACCTTATGTATGAGCACTAGGAGAGTGGTTAGACAGTCAATCTATCAAGTCTAATTTAATTTGTGTAAAATTAAAATGAAAATAGGAAAAAATATAAATAAAACACTCACCAGTTAACAACAAACATTAGACTTAACTCATAATGAAACAGGTCCTGATCCATCATCTTGATGGAATATATGCGGAGGAATTTATCATGCTTACCAGCAATGCATGTTCCCTGATACACTATCCTTCTTTCTAAAATTAGTCATCTATGTATTGAAATCTAAAATACAGTGCCTGGGATTGTTACACTCTATATTTTACCTTTGTTTTAGACCTTTGCTTCTGGAAGAAGGAAAATACACACACTCGGACCCAAGGAAACGGTTTAAGTCCTAGAAAGGCTCTGAAGGTCAAATGAGGCAAGGGACTCCTGGGCAGTAAGATGTGTCATATCAGCCCACCTGCTTGTATCAGTCCCAAACCCACTGCCACCTTAGTACCTGACTGAAATTAGCACAACTGTACTGTCATCACCTGCTCTAGGTTTAGAGAGAGACTGCATTTAACATCATGAATGAAGGTACTTTCCGAGAAAACTAAAAACCAGATGAACATCATTCCAGAAGGGAAGGGGAAAAGAACGACTGGAGATTCTCCTTGACATAAAATAATGAGCTGCAAACACTACAACAGAACGCACTGAACAAGAGGAATGCAGAGGTGGAAAAACTTGCCTGTGAGTTGAAAGATATGAGATAAACTGGCAGCACAATGGAACCCTACCTGTGGTTAGCCTAGTTCAGGAACAGGCTTTCTTCACGTGCTTATCACCACCACAGGAGTCCAGCTAGGTCTAATAAAAAATGCTGTACGGATCTAAACATTCTCTTTTAAAACACTCTAAACCCCAAAACCAAACCAAACTCACTGCCATCGAGTCAATGCTGACTCATAGCGACCTTACAGGACAGAGCAGTACTAACTGCCGCATGGGGTTTCCAAAGCTGTAAATCTTTACGGAAGCAGACTGCCCATCTTTCTTCCTCAAACCGGCTGGTAGGTTCGAACCATCGACCTTTCGGTTAGCAGCCGGGTGCCTTTAACCATTGTGCCACCACGGATCCTTCCTTAAAACACTCTGGAGAGGATTAAATCCCTAGGTGGAAAATATAAAAACCCAAGTCTCATTTTTTTAGAAACTTTTTTAGTAGTGGGGGAGAGTAAAATGAGGAAGAATTTTAACTCTGGTGGCTATATATTGGTGATGAGTTTTGGATTTGCAGTTCTGCACTTAAATGTATATAGAAAATACAGACGAAACACATTCACAAGAATACCAACACTATTTCCATGGGGACAAAGAGAGCTGCTGTGCTGGGAGGGCCCGGGGGACCCAGTCTGGAGCCTAGAGCTAAGTGTGTGTGTGTATCTGCATTCCAGAAATTAATAAGGTCCTTTTATTCTTTTCTCTTTTTTTTCTCCAAATAGCTGCATCGTCTCCCTTCATCAGCAGTAGCAAAGATTTGATCGTATAGGTATGGCAACAGTATTTTCAGAATGGAAAATTGAAATAAAGTTTATTTTCCCCCAATTTATGAATTTATTTTGATGACAAGTTGAACAAATAAAAAAATTAAATCACTAAAGTTGTATTTATTTAATCACCTTTATTGAAAAAATAAAATGTTATAAAATGAGGAAATGAGGGCTGTCTTCAAGATTCAGAAACTATAGTGAGTACCTGGCTCCTTGATGCCAAGATGACCTACAATTCTTCCATTTGACCAGTTCCTATTGCTCTGCCCAGCAGGCTTGGGTGAGGGGTCCCCAGTTACCATGCATGGGCAGGAAATGCACTCTGGGCAGTTTGGGAAGGAAACTTAAATTCAGAATGTAGTTTCCAAGGGGAAAATGTTAAACACAATGGCTACATTTTAAAGCACTTCATCATATTTTAGATTTAAACAGGTTCTTGTTTTAACAAGAATCTGAACCTTAATATTTTTGTTTGTGTAACACACACACAGGCATGCACACACATGCACACATAGGTGTCCTCCCACTATGACAAGGCAACATTTCTATTCAGTTATAATAATTTGTATATATATTGTCTCCCCTTAGAAACCAAAAACTTCTCCCCACAAGATATGGCTTATAAAAGTTTGTATCCTTGCACACAGTAGGTAGTCAACAAGTATGTGATAGGTGAAAGGACGGATGTGCTCATTTATACTAATTCTCCATTTCTAGAAGCATGTGACCAGAATGTTTTGTATTTGCAAATGACCAGGATGTTTGGGGGAGGCAGGGTTGGGGAAGGAGTACATGGGGAATTCATTCTGCACTTGTGAGAAAGGGAGAACATGAAAACAAGCTGACACCAGGGATTGGAAAGCAAAACACATAGAATGTCCTGAGTGGGTTCTCCTCCAGCACAGATGAGATGAACAATAAAAGCCACCTGGGCCCACCTTTCTACAGAGATTCTGAGTTTACAGAGTGCCTTCCCGCCTATTCTATACCATCTGATTCTCTTGACAATCATGGCTGTTTCCACATTCTACAGATGTGGAAACTGAAGCTCTGAGAAAATGGGTTCTCATCTAGTCAGGGGTCAGCAAACTTGTTCTGTAAAGGACAAGACAATAAACAGTTTAGGCTCGATAAGTCATAAGGTCTCTGTTACAACTACTTAACTCTGCTATCGCAGTATGAAAGGAGCCATAGACAATATATAAATGAATAAGTGCAGGTGTGTTCCAATCAAATTTTATTTAGAAAAACAGGCAGTGGGCTGGATTAGGCTCGTAAGGTGTAGTCTGCTGACCCCTGATGTAGATCCTTTGACTCCATATCTAGTACCCTCTTCCTTTACCACAGTTACCCCATTTGAACTAATATGTTCTAATATTCCGAGGCTTTTTTTTTGAGCGTTTTAGAAAAAGTAAATTATTTTCAGTAGTTTGTGCTAATATTTTTCACTGTATTCA